TTACAAGCGGACCTTGGAATAAAGCAAAACCAACCATCCATATTAAATGAAAATAACCTTGGGGCAATCGAACTTTCGAGGAACCCACGATTCCGCAATCGAACAAAGCATACTGAGGTTGCATATCACTTTGTTTCAGAAAAGGTCAATGATGATTGTATTACTATTCAATACTGTAGTACAGACCAAATGTTAGCAGATATTATGACGAAAAGTTTACCCAAGCAAACATTTTAAAATTTCGAGACATGTTAGGTGTCAAAGAAATTTTAGTTTAATTCTTGAAGAACATTTATTAATTTATAGGAAACATTAAGTGGGAGTGTTAGCTATATGAAGTATTTCATATATGTAATGATACACTATATTGCATGAAGTATTGCATGTTCTGAACACACATGTTATCGTTGGGAAGCCTGTGAACTATTATATATCTCACCTATATTAGTGTTTTTTTTTATATTTAGATATTTTCTTATTATATTAAATTACAAAATATCAACAGTTTGAACCCGGAGGATCGCAACCTGAGAATGAGGGTAGAATCCTGAGAATGAGTGTTGGTATTGATGTAGACTGACGTTGCGGCAACCTTAGCGGTAGTCATCTTCAGAGTCAAGTGAGGAGTAAACGTCAGGTTAGCCGCATTTGTTGTCAGGTTCTTATGTGGTCGTATTGTGTGTGCAGGAAATGTGTGGGTGAGTGGGTGTCAATTGTGTATTGTTATCGTGAATTAGTTTAATAGCGCCTTCAGAGTGCCTCGGTACGGTGTTCAGGCACCAATGTGAACGTGTACTGAGAAGCACCTATTCAGCACATGGTTTTAAAACTTGTTTACAGTGAAAAACGTGAAATTATAAATAGACGAAGGTAGTGGGTACTACGTAGTGTGAACGGCCTGCAGATTTGTGCCCGAAACAGGGTATCGTTCCAGCACTCAATCTGAACGCGCTTAAGGGCCGATAAGTTGACCCGCTTTACCGAGTTGACTCTCTTTGTATAATTGTTATATATTATTTTGACATTTTGATTACATGGCAAGCTAGTTGTCCCGCCTTGCCGGGATCCCGGTTGTTGCTTGCAGAAACCTTTGCATCGTAAACTGAGCCTGGTCATTTACATTCTACATCCATAAGACAACCTTTACTGTCACAAACAGCTTGGACATTGAGGGAGAAAAATTGTTTGTAGTTGTAAAAGTCCTTTGAATTTTTCAGAGAGTGTTTCAAACGAATGTGAGTCCCATCAATACAACCAAAAGTTTGAACCATGCCAAAGTTTATCTTAAAATTGGATGCTTTTGCTCTCATTTCGTCAATTGTTTTTGGTAGATGAAGATACTTTGGTCCCAGCACTTTGTTTATCGCAGAGCATACTCCGACTAAAACGTGAGTAACAGTGCATTGATGAATGCAGAAGCGGAACGGAATGGGGGATGAAACGCAAATTGGGGAAAAAACAAGGAATTGAGGATAAAACGCGGAATAAAATTAGTGAAAGTTATTGAGTTATTTTTTATTGTTTATTCTTTTCGTGAACATAAAACTGCTTTGATTTATTAGAAATGAAACCAAGCACTATTAAAGAAAATTATAAAACTAGCATACAGAATAAGTTTAGCATGTTTATATATATTATGGCTTCAACAACCAACTCAACTCTGAATTAGACTCTTCACAAGAATCAGAACGTCGTATTTTCATATCAAAAAAGATATTTACAAATGACTTAATCGTAAGAATTCAATGCACAATGTCATGAACATTTGCATGTCACCTCTGCATCCCATCTTTAATTTTTTTGTTAGGTGAAAATGAAAGAAAAAGTTAGCTTGAGTGTGAATGCAATCTGAAATTCTTTACGAAATAAAATGTTTATTTAAGTGAACGCTGCACATGTTCTTATTACTTAGCCCTTTTACAGAAGTGTGACAGTCCTTATGCCTTATGTTTGGTTTTGTGATGTGCCATCTTTAGTATACTTAAACCTTTGACACCAACAAGTAGAGATAGCATAGATAACTTAAAATCATATTTAATGTTCATCGTCTATCTTACAATGCTGAAAACTACTTCTATTTAGTACAATGTGAAAGGTACTTTGAATAAAAAGTTTATGTTTAACTCAATATTTGAGTAGGAAACAAGACAATTTTTTTTAATACTCATATTTCGAATTTATTACAAATTCATCATCAGACTATGCCCGGAATGCTCGCACTGCAGGCTATCGTAATCCAATATGGCAATGTCTAATACATTTATCGAATTACTGCTGGTGACAACAGTTTTGTTTTGCCAATTAAATATTATCATGTTGTTGCTTCTAAGACGTAGAACGGTGAATAGAAATAGGCGAAGAAGTGAATTGATGAGTCAAAATGTGACAAAATGTCAATTCTTAGTAAAAGAGTAGGAAACCTGTAAAGAAACGACGATTGACAATTGGTGGATAAAGATGACCTCTGTGGAATCTCCTTCTGAATAATGGAATTAGAACTTCCGTATGAGTAAAAAAGACTTCATGACCATTGTGTTATGACCATTCATCACTCCTGTTTCAAATGCTCCTCGGTTAGGTAACAAACCTGAAAAACGATTAGCTGTTTGCCTCTGCTATCTTAAAGACACAGCAACCTTAAAGATGACAGCCAACGTATATGGGATTAGTGTACAAACAAATTCAAAATATATAAAGATTGTTTGCAAAGCTATAAAACAACATTTAGGTCCTAAATCTATTAAGATACCAACTGGTGAATAGCTGAGAAAGTCTGCAAAATATTTGAAGATGAACTAGGTTTTCCACAAGTTTTAGGTGCTGTTGACGGAACACATGTGCCGATTCTGTACCAAGCGAAAACAGCCATAGTTTTTTTTTCTCATAAAATGAATATACGTTGAATGCATTAAACAAAATGAATTCGTCAACATACTGTAAAGGTGCATTGGGTAAAACTTCCATTTACTTATCAAAACAACGCTTCAATAAAACCAAAGGAAAAGTGTTGTGGATTACATTCAAAAATTTTAATTTAATTATATTAAAACACTTTGGTAATGGTAACATGCAAGAAAATAAAAGTTCATAAAACAATAAAACATCTGCATCAAGTAACTGTAACAATAATTTCCATAGCTGGTAAGGATAAAAATCTAATGTAACCACTAATCCATTATTTGTTTCTATGCAGTGCGTTGTGCACTGCCATTTTCTGAAATCTACCATCTACTTATCTGCTCAACTTTTTTAAGTTAACCTAAACTGCAATTTCCAGAAAACCAAAAGTAAGAACAATCTATGGTTAATTTATGTTCTACTAATTTAAACGTCTTCATTACTAATGTTAGTGCTTGCATCACTGTAAGCACTTACTATTCAGAGTTGAGTTGGTTGTTAAAGCCTTATGTATACACATGCTAAACTTACTTATTCTGTATGCTAGTTTTATAATTTTAATTAATGGTACTTGTTTTCATTTCTAATAATTCAAAGTTCACAAAGAGAATTATAAACAATGAAAAATAACTCAACAACTCCCTACTTTTATTCCACGTTTCATGTCCAAGTCCGAGTTTTATCCCAAATTCTGCGTTTTATCCTAAATTTCGCGTTTTATTCCCAATTCTGCGTTTTATCTTCAATTCGGCTTTTATCTTCAATTCCGCGTTGTATCCCAATTTCCGCGTTTTACCCCCCATTCCGTTCCTTTTCTGAATCCGCATTCCGCTTCCTCGTTTTATCCTAACCTTCGGCCAGCCGGGCTGAACTTAGTAATCCTGGTTTTTCCCGTTGCAGATTCCGTTCTTCCTTCCGTTCCCGATTCCTCGTTCCTGGTGTTTGAAATAGCCGTTCGACATTCGCGCAGTTCGCCCGTATGCTAGGGCCAGTGTTGCCAGATTGTGAACAAAGCTCACAGATTTGTGAACTTTTTGATCTCTTCATGAAATTTTCATGAACATGAAAAATTTGTGAACTCTTTGTGAACTTTTCAAAATTCTCTGTAGGATTTCATGAACCTTGTGTTGTCATTCCTTTAAGATAGAAATTAATAAGTACAATGATTCAGTAATAAAAATAGTAAATTGTTTACCTCTTATAGCAAGTAATAATATTATGTCAAAGTTGACTATTTACATATTACATAAATTATGTTAAACTAAAATTAATTTGCTGTGTTTTTCCCGCTAATTTGTCCTGTTTTGAGTTTTTATTTAACAAAAATATCGAAGGATCAAAAAGCACAGTTGGTTAGGCTGGGAAAATATCTTTAAGCCTGATTTCGTTTTGTTTCTCATATTTGTTTATTGTAACTTTTGCTCTTTAAATTTATTCAATTCGCTAATCAATGTGATTTGATAGAGCTGTTCTGGATTTCAATCGATTATTTATCGTTTTTGGTGATTTCTGGTCATGTTATGAGTACGCTCAAAAATCACAAACAGTCTCCGAGCTATTCCTGCAATTTCCGATACATTCCGACACATTCCGACACACTCCGACTTTAAAAATGTAGATGCATGAACTTTTTGTAATTTTTGTGAACTTTTGACGTCAGAGAACATGAATAATTAGAAATTTTATCTGGCAACGCTGGCTAAGGCGTACACACTCATCATTGACCTCATACGTATTGAAATGACCTCATAGTAACTCTAAGACGAAATTTTACATCAGTGATTGCCTGATTTGAAATATTTTTAACAAGAACTAGGCATTGATTAAAAATGACTTTGAGCGAGTGCAATTTATAAGTCGCACTCAGTGACTGCGAGTCAGAGTGAGCTCTTATCGATAGATTTACATATTAGTTTGACGTTTGCCAAAAGCAAATAATTTACAAGTTTGTTGTTCCATTAACGTTTCAATGCACCACGCTGCGCAAAACTAAAACAAAGAAATTGCAAGAATGTTGTGTATTTTCGTATAATTGTCATCTAACACTTAGATAATATAATGAATAAAGGATGTCACGCGTGATCAATGATTATCTCGCACGTGATCAAGATTGCCCACAGTATTTACATATATCGATTGTATATACGAAACAACAACAGAATTCTTGGCTGCCAATGATTAATCCGAAAAAAGCGTACTATAAGGTAAGATGAAAAATTATTATTTTGGAAAATTAAGAGTCAAATGAACTTCGCCAAAGCAGACGGCCCCTCGAACGGCCCAGCATTATGCATACTTAAATACATTTATAACATTGCCGAATTTACCTGGTAGCTATTGCTCACTACATTCTTTCGTTCCGTTCATACCAATTTGAACACTTTAAAATACGAAATGTGTACAACTAATTTAATGAAGCAAAATAATGGTCTTGTGACCGAGGGACTAATTATAATAAACATTAGCGTATGACTATTTGATAGAATGACTTGTTGTTGTGCATGATTGTACAGTATCTGCATTTTCTCGTATATATTGATTACATTGTTACTATTCATTAGTTTTTTAAAACTGCGAATGGTATTATTACCTGTACAAAGTAAGTGGAAAGGTTGAAGATTCATGAAAATATGTAGTTGAATGAGGCAACCAAGCAATCGAAAGTTTAAACACGAAGCTGTAATATAACATCACTGTCAGACATGTTGGAAAATGCGGAATGTGGAGTCTCTCCTCATCCAAAAATGGATACTTCTAATACAGACTTTGAATTTTTTACTTTATGTTCATATCGAGTGGAAAAGACGGTGTCATATTAAAAATATTCTATTCCTCCAATCACACGCTCATCACTCTGACTCCGCATTTTCTACTTTATTTCCTATAGAGTGTGAAATACGGAGTCGTACTAAATTTATTATCATCATCGAATCATACGTACACTCACGACCACTAGTCAAGGACCTGTGTAAAAATAAGAGATTGTATGCCATTCATTTATCGGAAGTAATATCAACTGTTTTTGACCAAAATGACCACGACGAAAAACATCTCATTTACATATTGAATTTTTAACTTCCGACAACGTTTCCAATAAAACAATATGATTAGCTCGGGACGTCTCGGAGGAAGAATTTTTTCCTTACAAAATCAATATAATTTTTTAAATAATACGAAATATATGGTTAAGGTTTGTGTTAGGTTCAGGCATCAGTTTTTGCCATATGCAATTCCTGTCTTTAGTCGCTAATCTCTGATCTCTTGATTTAGCTGCAATTAAGTCAGTTTCCTTAAAACTGACGAAACTGAATGATCCCGTTGAGTCACCTGAATTTTAAGGCTCCTGAGACGATTGCTTAAATTGTCCAACAAAGTGCGAAGATCATATCTTCATTTAATTTCAGACACCGCACTGCATAGAACATTCATACGACATTCCTTTCACGAGAAAACATCAGCCCAACAATATTGACCTACTCACCACTGTGACTTCATAGCTCAGTTGGTTAGAGCACTGCACCGGCACCGCAGAGGTCATGGGTTCGTATCCCGTTGAGTCACCTGAATTTTAAGGCTCCTGAGACGATTGCTTAAATTGTCCAACAAAGTGCGAAGATCATATCTTCATTTAATTTCATTTAACTGACGAAACTGCTGAAAATGAGTGCCTGCTGAAATGGAAAGACAGACATTGCTCTATTTTACAAATACTAAAAAAATAAACTTTCTAAAATGTTTGACGTGTTTAGAAGCTTCTTTTTGGAGGTGGTCATGGGAAGAAAAAATTTGCATAAAAGCAATATTTACTGAAGAAATTACCATGCCTCATCTCTGGTCAAATGTCAATTTTGCATGAATTAAGAAATACTCTTGACAGATGGAATTTTTATATTTTTTACAAGGAAAAATCGCACGAGACGAAAAACAACATTTAACTCACTCTAATCATGCGTTATTTGAAAGCGATTATTTGGTTGACATAGGATGCACTATATTTTACCTATCTTTCTCCAAAACACGTTTTCAGCAATATTTTGCCCTCTTTTTGGCATATTTGTCGAGTCTTGCAAGCATTCGCTGATTCTTGAACATTTTGATGATTATTGATGAGAATTGATGTTTTGTCCCAGTTTCTTTATGTTTGGATGCAGTGCATTGTCTTTTATCTTAGATATTTTTGAGACTGATGTTTTGTCAAGATTGCCGCCATTGCGAAGTGTCGTCGCTTCCTTGCTTGATTAAACGCTTCCCTGACTTCCTATGTGTTCTGATTCTGCTGAGCTATTCAAAGTTGCATCTTCAAGAAAGAGTTTGCTTTCAAGCTAATGTAAATCAAACCAAATTTTGTAGCCATGTTCAATGTTTATCACACATAAAAAATTAACTAGATATAAATCTAAACAATCGAGGTTTCAGGAAAAGAATGTTTTACACAAACAAACTTTTGCAATTTATTAATTTTTTTGCATTAAGAGAACAATACTATTGTGAAATACATGCTCCCCTTTCAATTTTTGCGTGCGAGTATTTCTCGAAGATCACGCGTGACGTATAAATGTTACTTTTTGTGTTGTGTTTTGAATCTCCGTCCTAAACGTGCTATAATATATATATATAATATGTTAATCCTATAATATTAATCCAGTAAACTGTTATAGTGGCGAGAATCTCTCGTCCATACGCAGTTTAAAAGAGATTTGACTCGTCTCCAATCCCTGTGGGCTTGGTAGCTCAACAGGTAGAGCGGCAGACTAGTATCCAGAAGGGGCGAGCTCAAATCTCGTCCAAGTCACATGTTTTTCATGTGCATGTTAAAAACCGTGTTAGGATTTATACATTATATATACAAACGTGCTATATGGGGACCATTCTTAACAGTCGTAATGCTCCCCAGTCTGACGTTTGCGATAAAAATAACAGGAATATCCCCCAAAAGGGAGGATATATTAAGATTAGAGAAAAAAAGCTCTTAGAATCAAAAACTCTTTCCACAGGACCACAACTCTTTAGAATGGAATTTGATAAAGTTGGTATTACCCTTTGTAGGGCAATTTTTTTCTTTTTTTTCTTTTCAGTATGTATTAAAGCCATTGTATAATGATTAGCTTACGAATGGCGAATGTTCTATACTCGTTTCTGATCATACAGCACAGTGGACGATCATAATGGCAAGTGAGTTAAGTATTAATTTTTTAGTTCATGCCAAAGTTAACTACCCGGGAAAAAATAAAGTAATCATCTTATCAACTGTCATCATATAGTGATAATTGTGGGAACTTTCGTATGTAAATAACTATACTTATCGAAATTCGTAATATTTTAATCAGTCAAAATTAAAGCCTTGATATCATATGGTCAGCGTTTGTAACTGATTATCTGAAGTAAATGGTTTGAACCCGGGAGTATCGTTACTTGTTTGTAAATGTAGATCGTTCAGGTTGGTATAGTCCTGGAAAGGACTGTTTTTGTTGTTGTTGACTGACGTTTCGACAACCTTAGCGGTAGTTATCTTCAGAGTCAAATAAGGAGTAAACGTCAGGTTAGCCGTATTTGTTATCTGGTTCTTACGTCATTGTATTGTGTGTACAGGAAATGTGTATTGTCATTGTGAATAAGTGTGAAGTAGTTGATTCGTCTGTGACAGTCGTTAATCCGTGCTCGTATCAGTCGTCTGCTGGTGGATTTGACAATCTGAATACCCTCTTGTGTGTTCAACGGGGACTTAATTCTAAGTCCTGCCGGAACGAGACCATAATCCTTGGAGCGGTGGTTGAACCAGAGTTGTTGGCGTATGTGTCTGACGTTGCTTGCAAAACGTATGTAGTTGTTAGGAAGTTGTTCGCTCTGTCGTCCAAATGATCGTAATAAAGTAAATGGTTTGAACCCGGGAGTATCATCGTTACATGTTTGTAAATGTAGATCGTCCAGGTTGGTATAGTCCTGAGAATTACTGTTTTTGTTGTTGTTGACTGACGTTTCGACAACCTTAGCGGTAGTCATCTTCACAGTCAAAGGAGGAGACACAATACAATGAAGTAGAACCAGATAACAAATACAGCTAACCTGACGTTTACTCCTTATTTGACTCTGAAGATGACTACCGCTAAGGTTGTCGAAACGTCAGTCAACAACAACAAAAACAATCCTCATTAGGACTATACGAACCTGGACGATCTACATTTACAAACATGTAACTGATTATCTATTAAAAAGGATAACTAAATCGGGCTTGATTCATATCTAGGAAGCCGCGAAACTACAGTAGTGAGTATCGTTCCGAATGATAGTCTTCTTTGGGATATTGCTGAAAAGATAGGTCCTCAATGGAAAGATCTTGGTAGAAAGTTGGAGATACCAGAAGCAATATTAAGCAATATCAACCATGACCATAATAGAGTCGTGGAAATGGCGAATGAAATGCTTTTAACGTGGAAGAGAAACAAAGGAAAAAATGCTACTGTCCAAAACTTAGCTGGTAAATTAGCCGACATGGGCCGTCGAGATGTTGGGGAAAATATACAAGGTAGCATTAACGTTTTGCTTGCAAACTTTGTTGAAACCTGGAGAAAATCGCAGTTGCTTTTCAACAGACTGTTTTTACACTCATACAAACTTCCCGATACGTTTTTGGTAGAAAATTAATCTGCTTATGCGTTATCGAACACTTCATTGCATTTTGTTAACCATATCGTTTTTTATAGCATATACTCATTTTTATATTCATCTGTATGTATGCTCTCTCCTTTATTTAATATGCTGATTACTATTTTCTTAAATTAACTTTTTCTTCTTGAAAAAAGAAAATGATTTGTTGCTGTGTATTTTCATGTTTATTATCATGTATTGTTTTGTGCGAAACACATGTATTAGCATTTTTATGTCTAGAATAAAACTGTTAAAAATGAGCTAGGAAAAGCTGGCAAAGTTGTTCGCCTAACGGGAATTTTAACAAATTTGGAACTTTAGATATCGCAAAAACAGACTTAAATTAACTGATATACAAAAAGACCTAATAATTAATATTTTATATGCATTCACTTTTCTGTTTTATAATTCATGGGTTGTGTAATTTAATCTAAATGGCTGATTAGTTAGCTAAAATGTAGAAGATACACTGCTCATAATATATGAATAAGAGACTCTATTCTTTTTAGACTAAATTATTGTTTACTCATAAAACAGTGGTTGATGAAACATCTCATGTTATTATACTTGTATTGTGAGCTATGTAATTTTTTTGAATTCGCTATTTAATACACTCAATAAAACTGATTTGTTTACCATCAAATTTACATCGGGAATTAAAGTACATAAGGGCATTGCTCGATGGAATTCACCGACTTAAAGATTAGCTCATCAAAAATGCATGAAATTAGAATGTAAGATACTATGAGCCTGGCATAGATCAATACTAAAATTTTCTAATAACGATGGGTTATATTGTTGATCAAAGTTAGCATCTTTTACGCTCGCTTAAAATGTAAATTCACGTGTCGTGTCAAAAAAACAGGAGGGATAGTCGCAGAACTACATATTCAAAAACAAAATCACAGCTTGATTGACACATTGGAGACAATTATTTTAGCTTGCAATATACATAAATAATTCAAAATCGTATGGCTTTTCTTGATGAATTTAATCTTTTCCTGTAATATTTTAGACGAACGCGAAAGAATTGAAAGAGGGGGTCGCCAGCAGCTTGATGGTAATGTAGTGATATGTATGATCAGAGTTATCATATGTATGATTATTGGGAGACATAACATCCAAAAAATATCGTAATATATTATTAAATAATTTTCGCTGCAAACATACAATTTGTTAATGTATCATCATATTTGTGCTATTTGTCTAGCTGACAAAAATTGATGGCTTGTATTAGTTCTTTGACAGGCCCAGTCGGCTATTTTAGAGGATTGAATTAGTGATATTACAACACACTTGTTTTGGACATCTTATAATAAATATTTATTGCAATAACGATTGAAATATTTAGTAATGGAAATTATTGATGAGATAGCAAGTAAGGATTGGAAAAATCTGGGTAGGAAGTTGGAAATACGAACTTCGGAATTGGAGAGGATAGAAGATGATTTTTTATCTGTGAAGGAGAAGTCATCTCAAATGTTGTTACAATGGAAAAAGGAAAAAGGAAGAGATGCCACGACGAAGAATTTGGCTGATGCCTTAATTGCTATTGGTCGTCGAGATGTTGCAGAAAAATTGCTCCAAGGTAATACTTGGTAGGTGAGATGTAACAAAGTATTTTGAATGTACGATTGTTCTATTATACAGACCTATGAAGAAAAGCGCAGCATCAACCAGGTAATGATCAGACCCATGGAAATCTAAAGCTGATGTTTACAATTTTGAAATTAATAAAAGCAAAAATTTAAATAGCTCTTAGCAAAGCATAAACTCCATGCACTATTTAGTGAAAGAATGAAGATATTAAAGCTTGCTATTTTAAGGACAAAATTACGTCAAATTTGTTTCTTTCGTCGCCATTAGGCTGCATAGATGAACATATTATACCTGAAATTAAAATAGTGTATTTGAAGAAAAATATCATTTGTGTCTCAAGCTGCCATGGTAACATAGGCTATACATGGCGGGTGTTATTATCATTAACAGTTGTAATAAGTTATTATAATGAATATCGCATTTTTATTTATGGTATAACAACGTCGGGTAGTAAATCTTTCCTCTCACTTGTTGTGTACTAATAGAAAATACTGGTTTTGTAATTTTTAGTATGTATAATAAGGTTTCAGTTATTAGGTCGTTTTGAAACTTTCTTTTTCATCGTATATTAAGATTCAAAATTTTTATGATAGTTGATAGTGCAACGATGCTCGGTTGAGCATATTTGTTGCCAGACTAAATTTTACGCGTATTTTTTTTCTTTTCTATGTAGTAAAAGAAAAGAAAGGCCCGAATCAGGTCAGCCAGAGAAGAACAAAAGGTAAAGTCTTTTTTGGTAAAAGAACAGACCATGTTTAAAAATTTAGCTTTTGTGTGAGAGAGGGAGTGGGGTAACAAATCTGCTGTTTAAATTGTACTTCAAATTCAAATTTACCCTGCAATTCAAATTCACACCATTCATTTATTCAAATTTTAAATTCAAATTTTTGTTCGTTCAGCAGTGTTTCCATAGCATTAGATGCTTTATGTAATCGTACGTGAAAAAGAAATTTAGCTATTGTTCTCTCAAACAATAAAAGGCACATTTTATATATGAGTATGTAATTGTTAAAACTATTTCCTTTAAACTGTGTTGCAATTCATGTGGACGAAAAGTGCGCAGTGAAACCAATTGTTGTCACAACTGTGGTGCTGCAGGTGAGCGTATATAACAGACTTGTAATGAACCAATCCATTTATTACAATTTGTGTAAACACTGAAAAAGGATTTAAAGTAATCGAGTGTTAGCTAATAGAAGTTTTTAACTTGTTCTTGTAAGATAGAGCCAGATTAAATGATGTTTGTGGATTGCTCGTCATTGTTTTCGGCCTGCTTCTTCTGCATCAAGCTGGTCTAATTTCAATGCACCCGGGTGTATGTTAACTTTGCTTGTAACACAGCAACTAAGACGAAACATAAAAAGATTTTTCATCTAAAAATTGATTAACGTTTGTTTTAAAGCTAAATCCAGGTATTTATTTTATTGGACATAGTCTTGTTGTGCCGTTCCTCCGTTATTTTAATGACGTCTTATTTTACGAAAAAGAAATATTTCCCATTTTTTTGTATGAGAAGGCATAGGTTTGTTTGTCACATCCTGTATCAATAAGTGCAAATACAAGTGATGTTTCGAAACAAGTTATGATATATGATGGAAAAAATCGATGGTAAAGCAGTGAGAATCGATGGTTTTGAAAAGTTTGAAGCAATAAAAAAGCAGCAAAATGATTTCACTATACAGCAGTGTCCACAAAGAAGCAAAAATGAAGCATTAAAGGGTAGCTCTTACCATATCGAGTACAATAGTCATAAAACCTTTGAAATACATGACAAATATGCTTAGAGCAAACATGCTTCGGCATACTTTATGCCATCTTCAGTGCGAAGTGAATCAATATAGGAAGTTTACATGATAATATGTATATAATTAAATTAATTAATTAATTAATTAATGGACTCCGTCGATTTCGACGTATGAGGGTTCCACAAAGTGGAACATCCTGGTCACTTATAGTGAAGGCAGCTGACCAGACTACAATCACTCGTACCCTTCACGCAACCACAATGCTGATATCAGCGTGACACAGTGTGACAAGGCTGCAACATTGCAGATGCAGATACAGTCCATCCGAGGACATAGTTTCCTCTACCAAATTTCCCTCACGTGGCTTTGGTCAACCCGGGCTAGGTTTACAGACACATTGCCAAATGTGCCACGAGTCGGGATTGAACCCGCGCCGTCTGGCTCACGCAATTAACCATTCAGCCACCCGCCCCGTCCCTAATAAGTATATAGCGATAAAGCGGAAGTATCGAATAGTTATGAACAATTATTTACAGTTGATTAAGGTGTTATAAAATGTTTGTGTTAGGTTTTATAAAGGAAAAGAAAAAACTACGTAGAAAATGGATAAAAATGATTAAGTAATAATTGATATTTACTGGTCGAAAATAGTGTTGAATTGTTGTATTTGTTTGTTGAGGTTAGGTTTACGTTTCTTGATATAAGTAAGGGCTTCTTTGAATTCAAGGGTGAAAGGAGTGTGAGCGGTGTCTGAGCTACGGAAGCAGGATTGTGTGCAATTGTTTCTGCAGAGTAGTGGACGAGAGTAAGTGTCTGAATATGTGTGAGTTTTTGTCTGTGAATGTTTGTTCTCCGTGTAGCTGAAGATGGCATAAAGTATGCCGAACATTTTTGCTCTAAAAAAATTTGTCGTGTATTTTAAATGAGTATGATTTTCTTACATGAAAGAATGAACTACAAGCACAATATACATCATTAAGATATGAGAGCCTGTGGCTCTAGCTTGAGCCTACGGTCCATTTACTCTTGTGTAAAGCTGAAATGAGCAACCTGGTTTCAAGACGCCTGACACTCAGTCTCTTTCAGAACTTTGCCATGAAGGTAGAAGAGTTTTTTAGACAAGCGAGAATTGTCAAACTCAAACATTTCATTGAGATTCAATTGCTCACTTTTATATCTTATTTATGTCACTAGTCGTTAGGTTTACAGATTGAAAAGTTTGGCAATATTTAATATAAGTCGGGGCGAAAAATACTGAAAATACTTAATAACATAGAGTGAAATGTCTGGGAGTTTAAGCTGCGCAGTCACTTTAAATGCTTCAGTTAAAGACCTTAAAGCGTATTACCCCAAATTTTTTTTGGAGCTTTGTAGTTTCAATTTCATCAGAAAATCTAAGTTACATTTCTTGATGTTATGATGACAATCTATAATGTTCTCAGTTTTTGTACTTGGTCAAACTTGGTCAATCAAAAAAGGTTTGTTGCATTTGATTATTAGAAGGATTTTATAAAAGGCAATAGTGTTCTAAAGTTTTTGAAAACGAGATTTTCAAAAGTAGAAAGGCTTTCTGAAAGTAGAAGAGTTTGTTTCAGTTGTGTGAATTGGTTTTGTGGAGAGTCATTTTTACATGCAGAAAAATGTGCCAACTGCACCACAGGAAACTTGTTGCATGTTCTTTTAGAAGTGCAGCTAGACATCTTAATGTCACGACATTGTATAGGTTTTTCTACATTGAGGGCAAGTTATTTCTTAAACAAGATCACAATGAGATAGAGGATGAAACTTGCCCTCGTTGAAGACAGAACAAGAAAAGTTTTGAATTGTTGTGTATTGCAACGAATTTGACCAATCGATATTATTTCATTGAAACATAATTTTAAAACATGAGTAAAAGACACCTACACTGGTATGGGTTGTACTGGCGGCGTCAAAGACTTTTAGTACGTATTAAATTTCGCCAATTCAACTGTTTCACTCCTTACACAGACGACAATCTACCAAAATTCTGGATTTACATTCTCAATCTTAGAAATGTTTTTTAATTTTTGTTAAGAGAATATTGTATTGTGTTACACCTAGAAAATTGTTTTAACCCAAAATTCATGTTTTTAGTTCCATTTGGCTTACGTGAATTGCCCAGTGATATGGTTCAGCGGCCATCAGTTGTGAATGACATTATAAAGAAATTGAAGTCGAAAAGTAATAAGGTGGGACTTGTAGGCGTTCGTAGAAGAGACATACTGAGTATTCGCGGTATGGGAGGACTTGGAAAAACTGTATTAGCGCAGGCTGTTGCTTGGAATGAGTCAAAGCAGCATCATGTAATTTGGCTTGATATTGGACAAAATCCAGACTGCTTAAGTCTTCTAAATATACTTATCCAAGAACTGGGTGGAGCAGCAACTTATAGTAACGAAAGTGACGCGCAATCTTGGTTGAGAGAAAATACGATTGACAAAGATTGCTTTCTTATTCTTGATGACGTATGGAATATGAAACACGCTAGTTTGTTTGATTGCTTATCTGGGAGTTGTCAACTGCTGATTACGACACGAGACGCAGACGTTGTTCGTGGCTTAAAAGGTTTGATTTCACTTTGGGAACTTTGTAGTATTGTGGTGAGTGGCGAAACTTCACACGAGTCAGTCAGTCAGTCAGTCAGTCAGTCAGTCAGTCAGTCAGTCAGTCAGTCAGTCAGTCAGTCAGTCAGTCAGTCAGTCAGTCAGTCAGTCAGTCAGTCAGTCATAGTGTAAACTTTCCGGGGGGTATCTAGCAACAACGCTCATTTTATGTTTAATGATTTTTTAGTGATTTATTATCAGTTTTCAGCGATTATTAAAAGAGCATATAATATAATATAATAAAATATAATATAATATAATACAATATAATATAATATAATATAATATTATATTATATTATATAATGGAATAAAATAAAATATAATATAATATAATATAATATAATATAATAGACTATAATAGAATATAATAGAATATTCCGATATTCAAAAAAAATTTCCTTAATGACCAGAGCCAGGTAGGTATTCCGGCATAATACAACCAATAGAGGTGGCACTGGATTGAGCATTATCATCTTATGCAATACCTTAACATATGTGAGGTAGGATTGCAACAATTTAAATATTTTCTCTTAAGCTAATTAAAAAAAAACATAGAGATGCAAAATGGTTAGGTTGTATTTTAGGGTGAATTTAGGGCCTCAACGATTGCATTACATTTTGAGCTTTTCGTAATGAGGATAATATGAGTGAATTGATCTTTCAATGACAGAAGACAAGCCTTACATCCCGAAAAATGACGACTTCTACTTGCCATGGAGTTCAGGAATGATTCTTTTTTAACAATTAAAATCTTTGCTTGTCAAACCTGAATCCAAGCACCCCTGTGATACAGATTGAAGCTAACATTTTTAAAACTGTGATTGAAACATTCAGCATTATTTTTATCAATAGTTGAGAATAGAGGGTAATTGTAGTAAATTTTGGTACTTTCAAAGAGCTCTATAAAGGTCAGTAGCCTTAATAAGTTTACCAGATTTTAATCAATTGAGAAAATTAGTGACACAGAGCTATAAAGGAAATTTCCAAAAAGATCTGATGAACAAGTACAATAAATCAATGATCTATATTCAAACTCAAACATGCTCAATTCAAATTGAATCACGACTAAAACCTAAATACCTTATAGCTGTGGAAACGCTCACTTTACAACCTCAATCATTCAAGGGCAAATATATAAACCTCATCATAAAAATCACTACTTAATATCTTCTTGTAAAATAAAAAATCGGCAAGCTGGTCGCTCGACTAACTCGGCAACTCACTTATATCTTTCACGTAAAGACGATCTTAGTTCGCACAAAATAACTCTGGCTTTAATCAAAATTCCACATTTACTGCTTTCGATCGTATCATTACTAACCATGGTGACAGTAATTTGTAGAATAGTCCGACTATTCTACAAAATTATAGTTCACCAAATCCAAAACAAAATTTGCTAATAGAATACAATACGCTTGACTTTCAAATTGACGATCCCCCCCGGTCGTGAACAGTGCAAGTGAGTCAAGGCATCATTGACTAATAGAAAATATAGTATCAAAGTAGTCCGCAGCCCCCCGGTAATTTACAACAAATGAGTCGCGAGAGGAGTCAAGAATAATTAAAATACGCTTTGGCCAATCAAATAAATGGATATAGTCACCAGATGGTGCCAGATTTGTGCGCTTAACCGCTGCCTCCGTAAACAAAAATGCTTTTCAAATACCAAATCCAGATAAAACTAAGCTGCAACTTGGACTTTGTAAAAAGGAAAATACGTAATTACTCATCATTTTGGTGACCTTAGTACTCAAAATAGAATAGTTATTTTTTTAGGAAAATATACGTGAGTCGCATGAGTCTTTTGACATACCTTTGATCCGCCCCTGACCATGAGCTTGACATATGTGCCAAAAGAATGAAAAAATACAACATAGCCGAAACAAAGAAAGTAAATTATGAGTAATTTCGTAATTTATATGTTTTATACTCATAGTAATAATAAAAGAATGTGATGCATGAATGACGAATATATGATTGTGGCGCGCCAAATGTCCTTATTTTGTATCTGCAACGTAAGTGGCATACAAATTAACGTTTATTTACGCAATCTTGGAGCAAGTCAGTGTAGCTATTCTTCAAAACACAAAATTTCAGCCTTTGAAAAGCACTTCCCGAAATAAATTTCAGTTTAGCATTTTTGAAATGCAGGGGTTCAATACTAAGTTTTCTTAAAACTAATTTTGTTTGTCATGTTTAGGAACATTTTTTCTAAGAAACTTTGCACTATCCTTGGATCTCTAGTTTATGCATACTTTTACAACCAGACAACGTTCTTTTATGCTTTTATTGTAAAGTATCAAGCAAATGTAGTCGTTTAAAATGCTTATGATCAATAATAAAGTCACTTTAATGAAAAAATTCCATTAGGCATTGAAATATACGAACTGCAAATAATGCCGAAAGATCAATCTCGCCAGCTTTTGTACAATGGGGCGCAGGTTTCTACTGATGAACAATCGACGCTTTCTGTCAAATTACAAAGAATAGTAGAAGAACTGTTAGAGCAATGCCGTGGACTCCCACTTGCCTTGTCGATCATCGGTGCCACTTTAATAGGTACTCGCGCTGAGCAGGATTGGCTAGACACTTTAGATGAACTTAAAAGTGCAAACTTACAACAACTAAGTATTAAGTCTGAAGAGGATCTCTTACATGGTGAATATCAATATACAAATGTCTCGGCTGCTATTGATGTCAGTTTAAAACGGCTCAACCAAAAGAAACCAGAATATGAAGAAAGGTTTTTCGATCTCGCCATTTTTCCAGAGGATACCGACATCCCATCAGACATTCTTGAACTCTTTTGGTCATCTGAGAGCATTCCAGGCCGAAATGCATGTAGTGCCAAAGAAACAAGAAACATTTTGCGTTTACTTGAAAGAAAATCACTCTTACAAAAAGGTCAGAACTTCACCATCTAAAAAGAACTTATTTATTATATTGTATAAGTCGTATCGAGTAACTTGCAAACAATACATATACCTTGATTAGTGGAGTTTTTCTGTGAATCAAACATACAAAATTGCGTAAAAATAAAGTAGATCTCTAAAAGAGCAAAGACAATATTGCTGCAAAAATGAGTCCTGAAAAAGACTTTTTCATTGGAAAAGGAAAATTTATGTTTTATTGTTTAGCTTGTGGGAGTAAACCCTAATAATTTATTTTTTTTAATGTTGACATTTAACCCTTTTGTACGTACCATTAATTGTTCATTTGGTCTCTATATGTAGAAAATTTGTAAATTCAGCATTACTTACAGGACCTGTGATGGAAGAGAAAACTAGCTATCGTGTCCATGATCTAGTGCTGGATTATGCTCGCGAAAAACTACGAAGCGAAGATCCTTCCAAGAAAAGATCGGTGGAGGATGTTCAACGTCAGTTCCTTCACGCCCTACGTGAACAATGCACGAACCGCGAATGGCCGCGCTATAATGGTAAAAGAGACTATTTTTTCAGATATTTACCATACCATCTTCATTCGTCAAAGCAGTATGAAGAGCTCCAACAGCTATTTTTCAACTTCCATTGGCTTCAACAAAAAGCAAAAGAAACTAATCTGCCATCTTTGATATCCGATTTTCGATTTCTTGAACACCCCTCGTACGAAATCAAACTCCTTAAATCGTCGTTAATGTTGTCCGCTGATGTAATCGAAAGCAGTCCAAATTCACTTGGTACTCAATTGCTTGGTAATAAATATTGTTGTAATGAATGAAAGCACTGTGTTTTGTATTAGTTAGAAATAATACGTATAACTGGGCTAATTTGGGCTTATGCATTTACAAGTTGCAAAAATAGTAAAATATTTCTGACTTTGTTTGCCAAGGAAAAACCCAAACAAAGAACACTGATTCTTTCAGCCCGTGTCATTGAGAAAAAATGTATTAGAACAATAGGGCGCAATGTTTTCTTTATATACCTTCAATTTTAAATATAGTGAAAGCTCGTACATGTCATCAATCCTAATATTCATAGTGTTTGGTCAGTAAATGCATTTTTTGCGTAACGAATTGCAAATGTTTTATGCATTTTGTGAGAGCAAAAAGCTTGAAAAGAATGACCAAACAATTGTAAATTTAAAATATGTACACTTTTTTACATGACGTTTTGTTTTACTATATAGGAAGGCTGCTTTCTCATGCAGAGCAGTTTCCAGGAGTAAAAATGCTTTTAGGTCGTGCAAATGAAATTTGCTCCACCACTTGCCATCTCGTTCCGTTATTTTCATGTTTATCGGACCCCACAGGTCCGTTAATAAAGATATTCAGAAAACACCGTGACAAAGTTTTAGCGTTGGTTACCACTGTAGGTCCTTCTGGATTAATTGTGATCTCAGCATCCAAAGACTGCCTGATCAAAGTGCATGAACTGGAGACTGGTATGGAGTTAGAAGTGCTCCGAGGACATACTATGGCAGTTTACTGCCTCGCGTTGTCGCACTGTGGAACAAAGCTTGCGTCGGGTTCTTATGATTCTACGACCAGACTTTGGAACTTAGACACATATAAATTGCTATTTACCATGGAAGCTGAAGGAGGATTTGTCAATGCACTGGATTTTAGCATTGATGACAAACGTCTTTTTACTGGTTCAAACGATGGTATGTTATTTAATTAATTAATCAGCCCACACTGCAATTAGTGCTTAATTTTGTAAAATTTTGACATTGTAAGTTATTTCAAGTATAGACACTTCAAATAGTTTTGTCTTTGGTTTCTTTCTTTATTGGTTTTATAAAATAACCTTTCAAAAGCACGGGCGCTGATTGATCGAATGCTTAAAAAAAGTGTGTTGATATAACTTAATGCACAAGACTTAAATCTCGCAAGAATCTCGCAGATTACGTGATTTGTGCAGGAAATTTTAAAGGCGAAAATACAATTATCATGCCATAAAAATCAATACGTTTATCTTTTAAACATTGTTTTTAAAAGGCTATTTAATAAACGAAGTAGAAAACATATTGACTTGTTTCTATGGACTTATATTGGTGGTTTTCATGTGCGATATGCTGGTGGACTCCTTACAAACAAATGTCATTAGATTTTATCGTTTTTGGTCGACATGGTGGATGCCCTTTCTTTGTTAGCTATTTCTTTGAGACACACATGAAAACTACGAATAAGCACTTGTTTGTGAAAGTTTGGGACAAACTCGAAATTGCTTGAAAGCACTCTCACCTTGTGCTCGTACTGGCCACGTAATTTCTCGTTTCTCCCAAATTTTCCTTCGTGTTTATAAAGCTCCGTATAGAAACTAGGAAAATGTGTTCTATTTCTTAAAGATATTGGTCAAATTAATTTCAAATTTAGTAAATTTCAAATCAAAGCAATTCAAACTGAATTAGAATCGTCAATTTTTTGACAGGGAATTTGCGAATATGGGATGTAGCTAATGGGAAACTATTAGCTAAGACACAAGCACATGAAACGAATATGCATATTCGAGGCTTATGTACCACCAGAGATGGCCGTATGATAGCGACCGGTTCACTTGATTATAATGTCAAATTATGGGATGCTTCTACATTAAGTCACCTAGTGACATTAAAAGGACACACAGACACCGTTTATGCCGTAGCAGCTACTTACGATAGTAAAATGATTGTTTCTGCCTCTGGTGATAAAACTTTAAAGATCTGGAATTTGCAGTCATTTCGCGAACTGCGAACATTAAAGGGACATCAAGGAGAAATATTCAGTGTTGCTGTAAGCAGTGACTCTAAGCATGTAGTTTCTGGAGGAAAAGACATGCACTTACGATTGTGGTGCTTACAAACAGGAAGATTACTTTTCTGTTTTAAAGGACACAGCCAATCTATCAGGTAATCGGAAGAGACCTTGATTTGACCGCAATATTTACCGTTCGATGTTTTTAAAGTGTCTTCACTTTTTAAACATGGAGATTTCAAACCTTCAGGTGAAACAATTTAAATATCTGTTGTCAGCATTATAATTAGTAATTTCATGCACATGCTTAACAAAATAGCTTAGTCTGCTATTATCCTATAACTATGGTAATATTTCCTTAAATAACACGGCAATGATTGAGATTATTTTACTTTAGATCTGTTCTTATAATTTCGAATGGTAGAAAGGCGCTAACTGGCTGTCAAGATAAGACTTTCTGCATGTGGGACCTGGATACAAATAAACAAATCAACGACAATTCGTTTCGTGGTCATTGTGAAGATGTAATGGACATTGCAGTCACACAAGATGGCTTGAACTGTGTTTCGTCATCTAGGGATGGAACAATAAAAATCTGGAAATGTGTCAAAGCTGAGGAGCGTTTTACTTTGAGAGGTGTGTGAATTACCCCTATTTCCTATATCCAATTTCTTAAAATTCGTTTTGTGATATAATCTAGTAATTGCACGAATAAAGAATTATATTATTGTTGTTTGAATACGGGTTGAACCGTTTAAGTGTATGTCATCCGCTAAAAATACTAATATAAGTTTCTGCTTGGAGTTTCCAGCCTTTTTGAGCTATTTTTCAACCACAATTCTCAAATTTGTGAAAGAAAATTTTGTTGGCCCAACCCAAGACCACGAAGGTTGTGGTTGAGGGGCGCGCTTCCTTTTGCGAACTCTTGCCTGTCCGATCTTTTACTCCAACAATGCAAATTTGTCTGCAAAATTATTATTCATTTCTTCAGAAAATTAAATCGATTCAGGGTTTTTCTGCGATTGAATGCACCCATGTTAGCAATGTATAGGATTAATAATGAGCTGGCTTTGCCGCTGCTACAGGCACAACACTCAAACCTCAAAAGGCATTTTTGCAATCCTTGTCAGAGAAAGAATCGAATGACACATGGAAATAATCAATTAAGAAAATAAACTTTTTGGAAGCCTCAAATTTTCCCTATTTTTTAATAGGTTTCATGGATAGATACTTCTTTCACCAATTTTCTATAAAGGTCTACCTGCGTCAAATATATAATTAGCATATTAATTGTTTGCAATCATGTTGCTTTGAGCACTCTTGTAAATGTCAAGTGGGTATTCCAGTATATTATACATAGTCAGCACTGTAGTGATCATTTTTTTCATGAAAAGCTCGCCATCAAACGATGATGCCTTATTAGTTGCCTCAGCAGAGGTACTAATTATTGTTTCTTCTATTAAGAAAAGTTTATCGTTATATTCCATTCGCTGATATCTAATTTTAACTCTTAGTTGATGCAAAGGCAGGATTAGTACACGTCTAATATTTCTTCTTAAATTGTGGACATGATGTGGACTTGACATTAACACGATGTGTACATGATTAAAAAGCTTTTTGCTTGAATAATTTTTTTTCGCTTAAGATGCCACAGCAGTTCTAATGAAACTATATGTCAACGCTGTTGAATGTTTACCGAAAAATGAACATTAAAAGTTTTTAATATTTGACTTCTTGCTTTTTCATATTATGTAGGACATACCAAAAAAGTAATAAATGTTTCAATCTCAAATGATAGCCGTCATGTTGTTTCGCTTGGAAAGGACTCTTTGATCAAGGTAATGCTTATAAATTATAGTATGGTTACGTTGCTTGCACAGTTCTATAATTTTCACACCTGGAAAAAAGGTAAAACATGGAAACAATGAGAATTATTTGCCGTTGTTGTGTGATGGTATTGTAACATATAAGACCTGATTTGACCAATAAAAAATCAGACTTACGTTCATTGGTTTTAAAATATGTTTTGGCTCATTAAGTTGTCAGTAGGAACTTTACGATAGATATTGAATTTATTTAATGCCACAAACATGTAAATAAAGGTGACAAAAAAAGGAAGGGAAGTTTCCATGTGAAGAGTTTTCTGCATCGTTAAATTCAAACGAGTTCAAAAAACATTGCTTATCCATTATAAAAACATTGCAAAACATATAATGAGTGCTTCCGCTTTTAAAGTGAACTTTTCTTTGTAATTTGATGACATCTTAGGAGCTCCTGGAGGTTACGTTTTGTATTATCAATCATTGTATATAAATGAGCGAAATTTAGCTACTAAAACTTTTGTTCGAATGGTTTGTATTGTAATTAGGGTATGACTAAAGTTATGTAATACATCATTAGCTTATGAATGTTATTCATTAATGTCATTGGTTGAGCTCGCAATATTGCAATGCTAGCTATGTCATGGCTATAGAAAAAAAGAAATTCAAATGAATGTTTGATTTTTTAATTGTTTTTATGATGCCAAGTTTTCAAGAGGAAGATGATATTCCGCCATCCATCTTGATTCAATTCTAATCATCAAATATTTAAAAAATTTTCAAGAGAATTAAAAGAATTTCACGCTGTGACTTGCTCACAAGCTCCAAAAATAATTTAATTAAATTTTTTTCATTACGTTTTCTCTATCCCTTGTTTTTTTTCTATATATGTAATTGGTTGATATATTCATTCCATCTTTTAGGTTTGGAGCTTGCTCAACGGCAGAGAAATTTGCGGAATCAGTGGCGATAAGCAATCACGTTTAGTGCGTTTTAATTTCAACGGCGAGCTTGTTCTTATTGGCTGCAAAGATAATCACATATTTGTTTGGGACTGGCACAACCACGATGTCCCTAAACGCGTCATGCTGCCAACATTCACAACTGTGGAGATTGCATGGGAAAATAACATCGTTTATACCTGCAGCAGAAAAAACGAAATTTGTCAAATCGATATGGAGACACTTAAAGTATCCCCTGTCACTCAAGGTCCTAACACAAGTTGTAGCAAATGGGTTATTTTACCGAAAGGCGAAGCTATTCTCGCCGGCATTTTAAGAGACAGTGTATTCATATACTGGGAGTTATCGTCTTGGCGTGAAATCATATATAAAGCTGACCATCCTCAAGACTCCATCATCACAGCAATTGATATTACCAGTGATGGAAAATTTGCTTTGACAGGAAGTAGTTTAGGTACTATTTCACTGGTGAATCTTGGAACCTCTAAAGTGGTGCAGAAGTTTAATAACACGGAATCTGGTGAAGGTGTACGTTTGATTAGCATGTTGCCAAATGATCTCAGTTTTATCATAGTTGACAAGGCAAATCGAGTGGAACTAAGAAATTTCAGCAACAGCAGTGAAAAAGTGCCACTAGGTTTGTTCACTTAATGATCAGACATATTTCAGTTGCTTAGCTTGCTGTAGCATTTCCTCATTTTTGTTCGAGCACGGTTGAGTAATATATATATATATACAGTAGACGAAAAATTATTATTTTGTTTAGATAGCTGCAAAGCAAACATATTATTGAAAGTTTCGAAATGCTTAATAGGAATAACATTTAGTCTTTTTACAATTAAGAGTTGCTTTTAAAAAAACTGCAAACACACGTGGTACGCACACAAAATCTTTATTATAAGTTGTGCTCTCTATTACTGCACCCACTTATAGTTTATACAATAGATTGCATCGTTTCTTGAAATAAGGAACTCAGTTTAAAGTTCTGGGTGAAGTATTTGATATATCTTAAACTAACGCATTCGCGCTAGATATGCATGCAAACTATGAACAACAACTACATAAAATCAGTATTAAGGCACTATAACAAGAGTGGAGAAGGTCTATACATTGACATACAGCTTATTTTCGTAAGTCGATTTTAAAAAATTTCTCATACATGTCACTAGATCAACCGATGAATATTTTTTTGAGATAATTTTAAGACCTTTTTGCTTGCTAGCAATTAGTCACTTAAGAAAACAATCTGTTTAAAAGCTTCTCCTATAGATATCAGAAAAAGGCTTAGAGCGCGAATTTTTAACGTCAGTGTAATGTATATTGGTGACCATTAAAAAGTCTATATATAATCACTATTTCTGGCTTAAACCCAAAGAGTCGATTCGGTCTTTCAAAGAGCCTTTTGTAAAACTTTTTTTACACGTTAAAGCATTAGCTTCAGAGAAATGTCGATCATAAGAAAAGTAAGTCATGTTGATTATGACATGACTTAAGATAAAAAGAATGTACACGATAATTAGCAATTGTCAAGACAACAACAACTGTCATAACAATAACAATTGCTTATAATTGTAATTGGTCAATAATTATAAGAACAACATAATCATTGTATACACCATATCGTTCTTTACAGGCAAATACCCCAATCAAAAATCGCATATAGCTAAATGTACTGGGCTGTCATGTTCTAAACACGCCAAATTTGAAAGCAGTATATCATATTTTTAATAGTTGAGTGGAGTTCAACAATATCGCACGGTTTTTTGCTGGAGGTGTTAACTTCAGATGCTAATTATCCACTATTACTATTTCCAAGAGCTCAATCTTTGGTAAACAAGATCGCAGTCCGCCTCAGTCTTGACATAATTAAAGATCCACGAAGTGTAATTCGTCGCTTAGAATGCTATTTTGAGCATAGCATAGAGCATTAATATTTTTCAAATTTTGAAAAAAATTTCTCAAACAAAAGCATATTGCAAATTATAGAATACCTTCCTTCGTTTATTGATTAAACTATTTCAGTATTCCCGCACTGATCTCGAAATTAATAAATTCACTTAGTGGACTCCGTTTAAGTTTGGAAGTAAGTCAGGCCACCCAACGTATAAGTCTAACTGTGTCTCTGTGACTGGTAAAAGGGCCTTTTGGACTTCCTTAAGAAATTAAAGCAAGTCAGGTTACCCCGCTTATAAGTCAAGCCATTTGTTTGTGATTGGTTAATATGCCTTTTGGACTCCATTAAGAAGCTTGAGTAAGTCAGGCTACACCGATTATATATCAAAGCACACGAATCGGTAAGATCTACCCTACTTTTAAAATTTTATCGTTTTTTTACGATAAAACTTGAATTTGAACCAAAAATCGTAGAAAACTGAACTTGCACGATAGCAGAAAAGCCTGCTATAGTGAGTAGTCTTTTCGAACATTAACGATCAAATTTCGAAATTCATTTGAAAATTGTGCTTGAATTCTCTGCAAATTGTACGTAAGTTGCTTTACTTACTTGACACACCCTAGATCCGCCTTGGACATGCAGAACGGTTATAACTACACCACGAGTAGCACCTGGCAATTTTGTTGATTTGCAGAATTGAAATATATTATCGGTCTGTTTTGTTCTCTTTGTTTCGTTGCTTCAATTTTGTTTCATTTCCTTTTGACTGGTCTGTATGGTATTAATAAGCTTTAAAGTGCAAAAAAACTTTAATTTATTGGTAATTGTAAAAATTGTTGAAGAAATCGTGCTAACTGTGGTTATGGCTTTTATTTCAACCATGTATAGGTCAACCTGTGGCAAAAGTTAACTGCGTGGCACCTCTTGGCTTGCAATACATGCTGCTTGGTTGTGAAGACGGAATTCTGTTGTTTTTTCATCATCAAAAGAACACTCGTACTGAATATAGAAAATCTGCTTTTAAAGAATCTGTGACCCAAGTTCAAGGTCACCCAAATAAAGAATATCTTTATTTTGCCGCCGGAACACAATGTGGATCAGTAAAACTTTGGTTGGTTACAAAATCTACTCCTCCAGAATTGATCGAAATCTGGTCACACGATCAAGTTCACCAGTATCCAATAACAGCTTTGGCTTTCGCGCATGGAGCAGAAGACGTTCTATGTGGTTCTTATGATAACTTTGTGGTCCATATGAACTCCACCGGAGTCGTCCGCACGTACAGTTACAAGAGTTATGGCATTGCAGCGCTTCGTGTTGTAGAAAAGATGCTTGTTGCTGTATACACACATAAATTTAGTGTAGTAGAATGGCGTCTAAGTGATGGCCATATTGTAAAAGATGTTCGCAGTGACGAGGGTGGAGAACAGATAGCACGTGCATACTTTGCAGTCGGGGACTCGGGTGATTATGGGCAATCAACTGATACTTGTCCTAAACGTGTTGTTTCAAAGGGGTCTCATGATTCTCTTTTGTACTGGGAACTACAAACAGGCAAAATTATTCATTGCATGCATGGCCACTCTCATGATATTCGTGCTTTGGCGTTCATTCCTGGAGGAGATTTTTTGCTTTCCGGCTCACGCGACAAAACGCTGAAATTGTGGAATTTGAAAAATGGACAATTGATGGAGGAGTTCCATTTTGAGCATTATGTTCTCGCGATTGCCTGTGCTAAAAATGGAACTGCTTGTGTCGGATTACAAGGAGGGCAGGTTTGTTTCTTGCGCATCAAAACGTTAGCAGCAAATGCTCAAAAGAATTTATGAAAAAATTGTTTTAAACAACAATATGTTGTATATCATTGTATAATCTTAATAGATCAGATTACTAATATAAATGGATCTAAAATATACATGTTAGATGCAGCTCAAATTTTTTCTCCAGCTGTTTCTTTTTCATTTAACATACGCAAAGGAAGCAGTGGTAAAATATTGGGCTATTAGTATGGAAGTAATAACTTTAGACGGTTTTCTCTCCAACTAATTAATTCATGACAATCATCAACATTTCACTTAAAAATGCGTCGAATTTTTTTTCATGGTATCCTTGATAAAGAGCTGGGATTTTTTAACTTCAAAAAATGATTATTATACGCTTTTGGCTTTGAACATTTTTTATTTTTGATTGATATCAAAGTCAAATGGTTGTTATCCTTTCACTTGTATACAATCCTCCCCCGTCCCACTATACATATAGGTATGGTGGTTTGTATATGATTATATCTTTTACTTTAGTCTCATTATTACTTTAACTACTGCGATCACTACTACTACTACTCTATAAATTCGTATAAAATGTATTTATACTTATCTTATTTCATTAATGTAAATATAGTATAGTTATCATTTAGCAAATAGCCCGTCTTAGGGAGATCTCATTTAGATTAATATCTTTAATAATATTGAATAATAATTAATAAACACTTAAAATACGTGGTTTTGAGAAATGTTTTGGAGAAATTGTCAGTATAACACGTAAAGAGTAATCTTAGCTTTAACTTTGAAGTATATTTTTTATGTAATACACAACTACAAATAGGAAATTTGATTTTCAAAAGCAGAAACTGAACATGAAATTTGCGTTGTACAACAAAACAAAACTTCAGTCCAAAAAACGCGGAAAAAACAACATGAAATAGATAAAGCAAAGCTCTTTGGCTACATGGACACTTCATGTGTTTCAGTGTTTGCATTGAAATTTGTGATACGATCAATCAGCAAGCCACACTACATGCTCATGTTAAGAGCTATTACGTAACACTGTGTTATCTTTAAACGTCGCTTGCCTGTGTTACATATACAACTTGTTAGTTTTAAATGGAAGAATGATAACTTTTGTCACAATTCTCTTAGATGCCCAGTAATGGTACAATCTGAAAACATGTTCCATGCTATAGATTTAGAGTAAATTTTTAATATGCTTTTAAGAAAAAAAATGACATTTTATTCTGTTACACAAGTAATATTTGTACTTGCCGAATTTTTCAAATGTCGTCTCCTATAAAATATTTTGAACTCCAACTTCTATAGAAAAGGTAGACAAGAAAGATAACCTAAGTGTAGGCACAAAGTTCCACAACAAAATAGACAGAAAGATAGAAATAAAAGTAAATACAAAGTTAAAAAACGGACAGAAAGGAAGACACAAATTGGTAGACTACAAAAAAAAAACACACAAAAACAGATACAAAGTTAGACAAGGTGGACAACAAAGGACGCAAATTGATAGATACAAAAATAAACAAAACGATGTCTTTTTAAATGGTTCGACCGATAACGGAGTTAAAAAACGCCCATTTAAGCCATTCCATTGGTCAATAGCCAGATCAGTGGACGATCTGGAATATTCTCGACCGATAAGCGGGGTGGCCGGACTTATAAGGGAGTCCAATTGCTATCGTGTAATTGGTTCGTTTAAATTTTTGTCTTACTATGATTGGTTTGACCCATTTTGACTGATAGCCAACTGAACTAACATAGTCAAGCTCACTGTCTGAATTGAATGTTTGATCGTTTCATAGTAATTTTCTAAAGCATGATAGAAACTAAGGCCCTGTTCACACGATATCGGATTGGTTAAATACCGGATTACTTTTCGTACCGGATAGGCCTTGCGTTCATTCGGCTCCGCTGAAATCCGATACGCTTTATATGGTTTTTCCGGAGCGATTTGACTCCGCTGTGAAAGTGGTATAAAAACCAATCCGATACGTTCCGTTGTCGTGTGAACGCTCGAATCCGATACGTTCCACTTTGGCAACTAAGAAGTCCGTGCGATTTTTCAAAAATGAAAGCAAACATAGCGATACAAGCTATGTTTTAAATGAATAATCCGACAGCAAATATAATATATCTTCAACATGGCAAGTTTAAGCTTTTAACAATGTATTATCGCAGTGTGAAAAGCTTCTTTCTAGTATTATAGTATATAAATAATATATTAATCCTAACTCGGTTTTTAATATGCACATGAAAAACATGTGACTTGGACGAGATTTAAACTCGCACCTTCAGGATACTAGTCCGCAGCTCTACCTGTTGAGCTACCAAGCCCACAGCGATTGGAGACGAGTCAAATCTGTTTAAAACTCCGTATGGACGAGAGATTCTCGCCACTATAGCAGTTTACTGGATGGCACCATGTTTCGACTTTATTCCAAAGCCATCATCAGAGTATATATATAATATATTAATCCTAACACCGTTTTTAATATGCACATGAAAAAAAACAAAAAAAATAAAAAAAACATGTGAGCCCAAAAAAATTGACCTGCTCACCACTGTGTGACTTCATAGCTCAGTTGGTCAGAGCACTGCACCGGCATTGCAGAGGTCATGGGTTCGAATCCCGTTGAGTTACCTGAATTTTTCAGGTTCATGAGACAATTGCTTAAATTGTCCAGCAAAGTGCGAAGATCATATCTTCATTCACTTTCATAAAACATTCTTTCAAAATAGAAGAATGTTGATTTTACTTTTATTTGATGTTACATTTATTTACTTACAATAATTTTTTATCCACATTCTAGGCTGTAACATATCATGTTCACATTTTGGGAATACATCCTTATGTCCCTCATGGATGGCGCATATATGGTTGAGAACTGACAACCTTTTTGCCTTCACAAGTTCTCCATTACCGTTACTGGAAGCAGCACACCATTACACATGGTTGGAAATTGACTGGGCCTAATCTGCCAATAATTTGCAAATACTTTTTTTTGATGCTGCCAAAATTTTCTTTTTGATTCCTGTTGGATTTTGATTAGTGATGAAATATGTGAAAAGCTGGTTTGTAATGACAATCTATATCTTTTGCTACATGCCGTGCATCAAAGCAGTGCTCAATTTTTGGTCTTCGCTTTGACATGCAGGCTTTGATTTGAGCATGCCTGTCTGTGTTTATTGACTTCACCTTCTTTCCACTTTCATCAAACTTTGCCAGACATCTTGTTAATCCCTCAACTTCCATTGCTCCAGAGTTTGACACTTCTTTAGACTGTTTTTACATAAATATGTGAGTACTCTAACCATGTTTTATGTACGGTTGTTGAAAAATTGTTATCTGAACAAGTTGTGTGTCTAAAATGTTGCTAGATTCCAAATCTATTCAGCTATATGACCCATACTTGGCACAATATCCAGGTGAATCACATCTTCCATTTCCTCCAAGGTTAATGTTCGTTTCTCTGATTGATTCTAGAAGATGCTTTTGGTGCATACATTTGAAACACTGCATGGGTATCAAATGCGCTGTTTGAATATAGCTATATGTGCGCTCTGACAGAAATTTTATGCCTGAATGACGAAGGAATTGAACAACTTTGCTTGGGCTGCTACCACTAAACAAGATGCTGGCAGCAAAGACCAAGTTACCCAATTGCATTTTTCTATGCAGAGGTTGGCTATTCCAGTCTCAAACATAACTACAATGACATTTTGCTACTACCAGTGGTCTTGGTCACAATAGAACAGCTGTCACCACAACATGGGCATTGACTCACTAACTGTCTCAGGCAACTATAAAACACTATGTATTTTTCCTCATTTTGAACATCTTCCCTATGACATAAAAATTACCATCAGAATCAGAGCGATAAACGTTACGTTCTGAGAAACATATGATACAGAAAAGCAATGTGAAAAATAGTTTGGTAACTGAATAGTTGGTACTAACGTCGCATTGTCATGATCGGATTCTTCACTTTTGCTTAAATCATTTGAACATTCAGATCCTGATCCATCGAAGCTATTGCTCATTGTCGACGTGCCATACAGCGCTGTCATCAAAATTTTCAATTTCACATGACGTTGTCTGTGTGCTGGGATTTTTTGTTGAAATTAACTCAGCCTCCGTACCTTAGCATAAAATTATCGTATTGCTGGATTTTTCACAAATATCAAAACGGCCAAATGGAAAGTCTATACCTCTACTTATCATACTTGGCACTTTTGTTTGAATGGTCCTTGATCTGTCGTGTTTTTTGCGGGTGGATTGTTATGCCTGCTTGACATTTTGTATAGCTTCATGTGCCATAATGACTGGTCTAATTATAAACATCTTCTTACACAATCATCTGTATTAAAACTTAAATCAGGAAAAATACATTGTATAATGATCATGAACGAAAAATACTGAAGTATCTGTTTATATAAAGTTAGTAATGTTGATTTAAGACCGTACATTTCATCTTTTATTCAATTACGCTTGATTAAAGGAATGTACACTTATGCTTCTATGTTACCATCAGAAACCACAGCAAATAACCCTTCAGCAGGAACAATTTTGGCCACATCAAGCTGCTTATCGTAGTCGTACACCATATTTCCCGATAATATCTCTTCACAATCGTTATTTCCAATTAAAGAACGAATTTCACTAAAATCTTTCATTTGGAATGAAAGTAAAACATCACAACCAAATATTTCCCAAATAAATTAAGATAATGTGTTGTGTTTAAATACAGCAAATCAGCGAGTCCGTTGTTAAAACTTCTTCGTCAAGGAATCTATCACAAACCTTCATTTAAGTCTGAATTTAACGAAATTTTAAAAGGAACATGCTAGAGACTAGAGCCTGACGTGTGATGACGAATGATGACGACAAATATTTTTTTTTCCTTCAATTTTTGGCTTCGGTTATCATTCCAGTTATTTAAATGTCGAGTTCACTGCGTCTGCCACAGCCACTGCTTCGATTTTGCTTCGTTTCTTACCCTTGTCGTAAAAATTTTGTAAGCCTCATTTTGGCGCCCCTGTGCCTTGGCGCCCGGGGACATATGTACCCCAGCGCCCCCTCTAGCTACGCCTCTGCAACCGTCAATCCTTAAACTGCGTTTTCGAACTTCATTGCCTTCTGCAATAGGACTGCTAATTTATTAAATTTGTATGAACAGTTCATACATTAATAACGTCTACTTTTCCAAACTATCGAACCAACGCTTGCAAGCTATATTTAAAGATAATTATTCGGAAGTGGTTTTAGGCGTTTTCATGACTTGTAACTTTGCCATTCCTTTTCAACTTACATCCTACCGCAATGACGCATTGCGGTGAGAAAGTGTTCCCTTCACATGATTATAGAATTTTACATCAATTTAATAATATCAGTTATATCTTATAATCTATAATAAGACACAGTCACACGTTACATAATTTGACATGACAATTTACAACACTCTTTCTCAAAGGAGGAGAGAGAAATTGTGAGATTTTCGTAAAAGCAGTCAATTTCGGTTAATCTCAGCGGTAATGGAACAAGTCCTCCATTTTTTGGCGAAGAAAGTCTTTTTTTCATTACACGCCCACCCCGCCACTTCTCTTACACCACACCATCCTTTCTTAATTTCTTGCTAGAAGTTGTCTTATTTTATACATTTGCATTTTCCAAAATTTACGTTTTCCTTCTATTAGATGGATTAAGTGTAGCTTTAATTGACTTTTTCTT